TGAAACAAGATAAAGTTAATCATATTGGATATTGATATTGGATACTTAAGATGTAAAATATTTAGTACTCCTATATTTGTTGTTATTGAGAGTTCAGTGGTGATATTCTTACACTGCCTCCTATATAAAACTAGGAAAGACACATATAATGCCACTCTGCTATTATTAGTAAAAATTCTATATTTTACAAACAAATTAAAATAACTCCTCTAGGAATATGGTTTTTGTCCTCTTATATCTTGGCGGGGTGGAAATCAAATGAGAAATTGAATGTCCTACATTGGAAGCCTAGTCTGAGTAAAATTCTCTATTATTCCATTTTCCATGAGCAGAAAATTTCTCATTTTTTCTGCTTCTGAAGGAGATCACAGGAGTATAAGATGAATTCTACTGAACTGGATCAACCTAGCCCAACTTTATCTTCCATTAATAGCCAAGTAAATAAAAAAGGTCAAAGTCATGATGTCAGTAGCTCTTGCTTGCTGATATTATCTTGTAAATGGTATTAAATGAATTCATTATTTATAATGAAAAGGAGAATAGTCAGTGAAGAAATCTACTAAGCTAGTTTGTTGGTTTCCAGCAAGCATAATTATGTCGGCTACACCTTGAGGTGTTGAATGATGAAACACAAATCCACAATTAGCCATATGTTCCTTCCCCTATTTTTCTTGATTTTGTAAAAATTCACTTGTCCTAATAAAAATGTTCTATTTTTTCCCCTCAGCCAGTATGAATACTAAGATTTTTAGAAGAAAAAATATTCATTTATTTCACATAGTCTTAAGTGATCACCCTGCTGTAAAATCTTTAAAGGAATATATTTGCAGGTCAACTGTTTTAAATAAGAACATTTCAAAAGTTATTTATAAAGTGCAATGATAAAATTTTAATAATTCATTCTAGATTCAAAGCCCCCCCCCCCCCCCAGGAAACACAGTATGTATTCTCTAAGAATGTTTGTATATTTTAGGAGTAAAACCTTTGTATCTATAAGAGCCTCAGTGGCGTAGTGGTTAGAGTGCAGTACTGCAAACTACTTCTATTGCAATTTGGCAGATTGAATCCCACCAGGCTCAAGGTTGACTCAGCCTTCCATTCTTCCGAGGTAGGTAAAATGAGGACCCAGATTGTTGGGGGCAATATGCTGACTCTGTAAACCACTTAGAGAGGGCTGTAAAGCACTATAAAGCGGTATATAAGTCTAAGTGCTATTGCTAGTATTAACAACACATTATTTTTCATTGGGAGAGGACAATTAGATGTCAGGCGTAAACCTGATAGTCAAGCAACTTGATAAATGAGAAAGCAAAGGAACAATTGCCTATTACAATTACAATCCCCACCTACATAATAATAATGCCTCATGTGGGGAGCCGAAAAGAGCCTGTAACTTGTGTGGCTGGTTGGTGCCCTGAGAGTCGTCCCTTCACTTTTTAAATTATTTTAACATAATAATTTAATTATTTAAAATAATTAATTAATTATTTAATTATTTTAAAAATTATTTATTGTTGCCTCCCTCTAAAAAAATAATTTCAAAATTGTAATTTTAACATTTTAATTTTATATACTGTTTTTATATTTTGACATTTTGTTGTGGACTGCCCAGAGTCCTTCTCTGAGTGAATTGGGCAGTTCAGAAATGTAACAATAAATAACACCTGCTTTGCTCTATCTGAGGGAGAATGCATTCTTTGATGCTAATCAGCATTCAAGAATGCCCAAGAACTCCAGTGCTTCACTGTCCATACTACAAATTTGCATGGGATTAGCAAGACAAAGGGTTGTGTGGAATTCAGGTGGACGAATATTACTTTCAGCATATAATTGGAGAATTTAATTCTACTATTTGGTTTTGCAAAATCCAACCCTAAGATATTTTTAACCATCAAGCAACATGAATCTTCAGTCTGCATAGTCCTACTTTCAGAAAACTAATTTGATGTGTAATATTTGACTTCAAACGATTGGCAATATGCAGAGGTATTCAATATTTGGCTATTTATTATTGTTGGAATGCAATGGTTCTAATTAGAAAGCATTTTCTCATATGTCATACTAACCTGCATAGGCCACAAATATAGATAGTGGTCAGTTTACCAGACTTCATATCCAATAAAGTAGTTGAGAATTGCACACAAAATTAAAATTTTGAAGAGGAAATGTCAAGAGGATTTAAAATTAAATTTGATAATATGTTCCCATTCACATGCAGTTTTGAATTCTGAATCCCCCAAATATCTATTAAAAGAATGTTATACTTTGTGAGGAGATAATCTTCTCAGAATATAATCTCTACAAAATATAATCCTTCCATATTTTTGCCAAGAAAACTACATGGATGTGTTCATTAATTCACCAGGAGTCAGGTCGATTTGAAGGAGATTTTATCTTTTATGGTAAAATAGAAAATTGTTAAATAGGTGTACTTTTAAAAAAGAAATAAGTTTAGTGTAATAATACACAGACAATCTCTTTTTCACAATGACTTGTTTATTAAAAACATTTTTGCTGGAAGCAATTTTAATATACATGGTTCATTTGAAATCACTAGATGGTATTTTATGAGGCAAAGGATACGAGAAAGAAAGGAAGAGTAAAGAAAGAGAACAAGCAAATTCCCATTTAAAAATACAATTTTGGGATTAGTTCACAAACAAATTTCCTCCCAAATGGTTCCATCTCTCTTCCTCAACAAATTAGACAAATATAAAACTTCTTTTTCTCTCCAATAAGGAATAAGGCAGGGATAAAATGTTTGGAAGAATAATAAATGACCAGTGGAAATAAACATTCAAAACATAAAAGATAGAATAGTGAAGAAGAGAGAGTAAAAGAGGTCACGCGAGGACTTGTAAGCTAAAACTTCACAAAAACCCTTCTTCCATGACAGGCACTGAGAAAGAGAAGATTAATAATTGTTTCCAGCTGTAGAAGGAGCCAGATTTCCTTGAACACAGCACAAAATGGCAATTTCTTTACAAGTTTGCCTTATGGGACATATACAGCTCCAGAATCTCCACCCCTCCCTGGTCATTGCCAACCTGGTGAAGGCCACTGCTGATGTTTCCACAGAGCAATATTGCATGTAGAGTGTCCAAAGGTAAAAGAAAAAAAAAACTGCTTTGGACACTTCTGCCAAAGGAAAGGCATACTTAAAAAAAGAAAGAAAGAAACAAGTTACAAAATTGGCAGATATATCTCGTCCTAAGGGAGAATAAGCTGTGGCTGCCAAAATCTAAACTGATTGCATGCTATTTTATTTTCCCTTGCAAACAGCACTGGTGATAAACACCATATTCCTCTATTTTTGTTATCCCAATATTTTTGTGTCATGAATGACAATATTTGGTTCACTTTCAGGCGATGAGCTGCATACTCTTTTTCGTGAGAGATTCAGACGTCTAGCCCAAGTGTTAAAGCTATAAAAGCAGTAATTCCCTTTTAGCCCCTTTCCATCTAATAGGCTGTAGGAATGTTGCAGCAATTCAAAAGCCACAGTTTTGCTTCTTGTCTCAGATTTGCTCTAAACTGCTCCAAATGGAAGCCATTGCTAAATTAAAAGCATAAGACTGTTAGAGTTGGACATTGGAACTGACTCTGAAGAAAGTCATCCAAAATACTTACATAGCATGTTTGTGTGCTTGGTGGAGGAGGGAGGGGACAAATTCAATCATTTGCATTTACAGACAGCAATCATAGGATCATTATTAATCTGAATATATCATTACAATGAAACTATGCCACAACTGCATATGCTAAATTCTAGCTTATGTTTTTCAGAACACTCAGACCACAAGGGATTTGGGCCCAAACTATCACACACAGAAACTATAAAATTACAGAACATTGTGTAGTCTTTTTTAGCACCAGTTATTTTGGTTAGGGATTTTTATAATTAAACTAGTGTATTTCCCCCAACCATGGCAATTTTAAGATGTGTGGACTTGAAATCCTAGAATTCCCCAGCCAGCATTCCATACCTGTACATCTTAAAGTTGCCACAGTTGGAAAACACAAATTTAGTCACTGTGGACTTTACCAAATTAGAGGTAGAAGAAAAAGAGATGCAAAAGAGAAGGAAGTACTTGGGAGACTAATATGATAGGGAATGTTTAGAATGGGGCTTGATAGTTTATTTTTAGGGATCTTAAAAATAACACTCCCCTTCTCTATCACATCATTAAACAAAACATAATATTTCTCAGTTCAAAAATATACTATTATAATATATACATTGTAAACCTTAGAAAATAATATGTAACAAACAGTATTAGTTACAATTTATCTCTCCAAATAATTCAAAGTAAAAATGAAAGGGCTCTGAAAATCTTTAATATGGAATTTCTATATATGATCATTATATGTTGCTACTATGATAGTCAAAAGGCCATCTAAACCAGGGGTCCCCAACCACCGGTCCGCGGACCGGTACCGCTCCGCGGAACAAGTCCTACCGGGTTGCTGGTTGCTGGGTGCCGCCATCTTTTTTTGATGAAAAAGTGCTTCCGGTGAGCTTTCTACCCGGAAAAGCTCACCGGAAGCACTTTTTCATCAAAAAAGATGGCGGCGCCCAGCTGATGCCGGTACCGGGCCGCGGCGCCCAGCTGATGCCGGTACCGGGCCGCGGCATAAAAAAGGTTGGGGATCACTGATCTAAACTACTATTAGAAATTTACTAGATGAAATCTATGTGGTGGTGGATATAAAGATTACACTGGTCTATTCATTCATTCTTTAAATTTATATAGTGCCATGTCAAAAAAACTCATGGAGGATTCATACAACTGTAAAATGCAACACTAAAACTTCCACAATAACTTAAAATTAAATTTAAGTTACATTAAAATTAGAATTACTTATCAGCTCCAGTGTTATCATACTTCATCCCAAGTCCCCAGTTTTAACTAGCTTCTAGATTTTAACTAGCTTCTAGAAGGCTTTATTGATGGAGCCAATCTTGTCTCCAGGAAGGCCATTCTATATAACAGGGGCCATCATAGAGAAACAACACCTCTGGGCCTCAGTTCCCCTCCCCTCTCAAAGTGGTGTTGGGGAGCAGTATTAACAGTATTAGCAGTTTCTCCTGGGACAGACAGGTCTCACCTGCTTGAAGGAGGCAGTCCCAAAGTTACTTAGGTGTCAAGCCATATAGGGTGTTATAAATTAAAACCATTACTTTGGCATGCAATCAGAAAGCTACTACAGTATTCACTCAAAACATTGAAGACAGCAGAATGAAGCGGCAAAAAAGAATAATTTGTTAAACAATTTGAACCCGTCGCATGTAACACCAATTCATTTACTGTTCTCTCCACTTTCATCTTTGCAAGGAAAGCAAACCCATTTCCATTTTAAACTAACCACTGCTTATGATCACAGTGTATCCAAATCAGCAGGTTAATAACAATGCTTTATTCACATAACACGGGCTCAGTAACCAGGACTTGATCCCCTCCACAGTTTATCTTTAATCCATTGGCTAGTTAGTAATACATTTTTAAACTAAGGATCATAGAACAGGAATGAATTTCTGGTATATTCATTGTAATTAGAAAAACAAAGACAAGGTGATTTATTAGAAATCATTTCAGTGGATCAGAAGGTTTCTTCTTAGAAACATCACCATATTTGTTTGCCCAGCATAAACAGAAGTTGTCCAGTGATTCATTCCTTTCTACTAACCCAGACAACCAATGGAAACCATCTTCCATGAAGCCTTCTGTCTTCACAGATGTCCACAGCTATCTTATAACCTCAGTTCAGGAATAACAGTCATTGCATGCCTTGCCATTGAAGAAGCAGGCCATGTCCCAGCTTCATTTACAGGATATTCTTTTGTTTTCAGATACTTTTAGGACTTTTAACTGTACTTACACATTTGTTTCCAATTCACTGATTTCAATAGTACAGTGGTCTTTATTGTTGGGTTTCTCTGTGTAATGTTCTGAGTGATTCTCTTCTTGTTCCACTTGAATAGGTAAGTGATGCAGTGTTGTTTTGACTGCTTCAGGTCCACGCATTTTATTTATGGACTTCACACAGCCATTCTTCTGATAAGCAATAATTTTGTGGATACTAACAGGTTTTGTTTCTCCAATCAAGGGCATCTATGAATAGAACAAGGGGTTCATACTATTACTACTCTTCGTTAATCTAGAACACTTTTCTAAACTTATATTTCATTGTAGCATGCGAAATTATAGATTGCACCACACTCATGTTGGAAGCACCAAGGCACTCTGGGTTGAAAGAATTAGCTGGTGACATCACCATTGTGAGAGGATCAGTTAAGGGGCACCTTTTATGTCCCGCTCAGGAGCTGGAGCAAAGGATGGGAGCTCACTCTACCCTACAGCAGCAGATCTCGAATGCAGGCTTGGTAACCTCCAACCCAGCATCCTAACCACGCGAGCCATAGTGCTCCAACAAAACCATAGGTAGAACACACTGTTACACAGAATGTCTCTAAAAGAGAGACCTAATTATCTCTGTTTGGTAAAGTGTGACCTCAAAGTATCACGTCAGTTTTCTCCTACCTCAGATCTTTCTGCAGTGAATTCTTTTCTGCAAATATGTGCCATTATTCCAGCAGCAAGAGCATCGCCCAGGACATTGATCATTGTCCGAAATCTGTCCCTGAGGACAAAATTAAAGCATTAAAACAGTTTCCTTTTCCTTGTTGTGTAAATTGTTCATCAATCTACATAGTTATTTGTACACAACGTAACAGTACCTGCACGCAAGCTGATGTTATTTTACTTGATATAGCACAGGGATAGGAATAAAAGTACCCAATTAATTTAAATGTGTAGGCCATCACACTATGTCAGATCAAATTGCTCCAATATTGAAATCCCATGGATTAATTTTATGGTATGAAAGCATAATGCCAACAAGAAATAAAAAAAAACATTCCATGAACCTATTCCTAATCTGTTTCATAAATGCCAATTTTTTTATGTTGACTCTGGTATTTGATTTTTCCATTTTTACAAAATTAAGCAAAATAACAACTGGAGAAAGAAAAGCTTTCATGGATTTTATATTGTCCTCTGTTTACTTTCTTAGGTATGATTTAAAACAAGAAATAATTGAGAAAAGTATTTTTGTGATAAATAAATAACTGAATTTCACTAAACTGAATCCTCAAATCCAAGCAGCATTGTGCTTCTGGTTGCCAGAATTGTGATACAATTGGTACCAGGAATCACCAAGAGCTGGAATTAATTATAAAAGAGTCTGGTGCAAGAACTTTAAAGAGAGAGAGAGAGAGAGAGAGAGAGGGAGGGAGGGAGGAAGGGAGGGGAGGAAGGGAGGGAGGGAGGAAATTATAAACAAAGAAGCAAACAATCTTAAAAGTCAAATATTAAATGTTAATAGAATAGAATAGAATAGAATAGAATTCTTTATTGGCCAAGTGTGATTGGACACACAAGGAATTTATCTTGATACAAATGCTCTCAGTGTACATAAAAGAAAAGATACATTTATCAAGAATCAAGAATCATAAGGTACTTTGTAAATAGTTGGACAGTGTTGAGGCAATTATTTGTTTAGCAGAGTGATGGCATTCGGGGAAAAACTGTCCTTGTGTCTAGCTGTTCTGGTGTGCAATCACACAAGAATTATAAAATTGGAAAATGCTTTTAGAAGAAAACAGAAGAACAAGAAGGTAGACTAGACCACTTAGGATTTTTTTTAAAGGAAAGAAAATAAGCCAAAGACACAAGCAAGGTGGACTTAAGCCAGTCCAAATGGAAACTAGAAAACATTTGGATTTCAACTGGAAAAACAATAAGACTTGGACATTTATAGCTGAAGGATATATAGAAGAATGTAGGAAAACTGAGGAATAAATTGTCCGAAGACAAATAGAGAACAGAATGTCATCAGAATGTCTAATTTTAGATTAATCTCTCTCCAGTGTTTGCATTTGCTGTTATGTCAGCTTTTGGTAACTTTTTAAAAAAATAAATGCACAGTTGGTTTTAAAACTGTAAGGAAAAATTAATTCTATTCTGACTTGTGATTCTCACAAATCAATACTGAGAAAAAACTTTTTGCCAAGTACAGTTTTAAATTGACTTAAGGAATTTAAAGTTAGAGGAAATAGCAGGTGTATTAGCCGGAGTTACTTTTAGTGCATTGTTTGAAGCTGACTAAATTCATTTGGCAGGTACATTAAATCTGAAATGCATCATATGGTTTCTTCATTCTTTTTCAGCACAATGAGCCCATCTGAGAAGTCAATCACAATGGTTATTATATTGATGTGGGTCATAAAACTAAAATTCAGGAACATCCAGATGTTTGGCTTAGAAAAGAGTAACATGATCCAAAATCAGCAATGTTCAGAGTTTGACTTCTTTAGCATAAAACTGAGTTCAAACAGAAAGATTTTTATTTGCCACTTATGTAGGTGAAAATAAACATATGGATCTGTTTATTTTTCACATGTTGTGCCCTTCATTCCCATTAATGCTTTGCTAAAATCTGCTCTGCAATCTCTCATAAGTTTGCTTCCTCTATAAAGGATGCTTCTGTTTTTGTACTGCATTGTACCCTTTGGTTTCCTGAGAATTTATTTTGAATTTCTCCTAGTAGGTGTTTTGTTGTTTCAGCCATTTCTTAATGCTAGGGATTTTAGAGGGATAGTTATGTTACTCTTTTTCAGTCTCTAGCAAATGATTCATTGACAATCTCTCTGGATCACAGTCTAGCATGTCCACCCAGAGAATCAAAAATAAGGAGATCTTCAAGGTATAGGAGTCCCCAGCAATATTTCACATGTATTTTGCATTCAGTTATATGCAAAAAAGTGGTGTTTGTCCTTTGCAATGTTTGCTTTTAAAAATGTCTAGATCACTCAACATCAAAAGACATCTAGGAAAGTTAAAACAATTAAAAGCTCCACACAACAAAATTTACAAATAAAAGAAGCACACAAAATTAAATAAAAGCACTACAGATGTATGGAACTCAACATCACTCCCCAGTTTTGTTGTTGTTCAGTTGATAAGTCAGGACTGACTCTTTGCAACCCTGTAGATCACAGCACTCCAGGGCCCCCTCCCTCTACTGTCTCCCTGAGTTTGCTATATAATCTATATAATCATCTCATCCTTTGCCATCCTTCCTCCTTTTGGCTTCAATCTTTCCCAACATCAGGGTCTTTGCCAATGGGTCTTCTCTTCTCACTTGATTGTCAAAGTATTTGAGCTTTGGCTTCAGTATCTGTCCTTCCAAAAGACAGTCAGGGTTGATATCCCTTAGGACACCCTGCAATTAAAAGGATCCAAAATATACAACCTCTTTTCAGCTTTAATTTCATCACTGATCATGGGACAGAAACTTGTTCTCTGACCTTATGCGCAAAATTGTCATTTTAAATATACACAAGTGCACCTTGATAAGCCTAAAATATTTCGGAATGAAGTACTTTGGACTGATAAATTGCTTTGGACTCAGAGTCATCATGAGTGAATTGGTTGCCATATACATTTTCTGAATAAACAAACAAATAATAAATAAATAAATAACTGAAAGGTTATCAAAATTTTGCATGTACTATATTCACCTGTCCATTATAATTATAACTTGTGCGAATCATAAAAGGTTATCATTTGACCAGCTTGATTTTATTACCTTTTATTGCAGCAGTTGTTAAGCAGATATCATGGTCATTGAATGAATCCATGGTTGTTAATCCATTCTTCACTATGGGGATTTTTTTGCTGAAAATTTGAAATAAATGCCAGTTTTCAGCAAAACATAATAATTTGTGGTCATGTGATTGCCTGGTGCTACAAATGCGTTGTCAAGCATCTGTAATGCTGTCACATGACTATGGGTGGGGAGACTGTCCTTCAGAATTTCAGTTCTGAGCTGTAAATATTTTGGGGGGGAGAGGTCTTTGGAATTTTGAATAGTCACTAAGCGACCAAGGTGTAAATCAAGAATTACCTATACACTGAAAAGACAACTTTTGGCTTGCATCTGGAAGGATAATTATTCTATTTTCATTTTGCAGATGAAAAACTGACCCAAACAGAAAGTAAAACCATGAATGAGCTGTGCTATCCTTTGACATGACCATGTACTCAACATCAACAATGTCAACATCAAAGTGAGTGGTATCTCCCTATAAACCGAACCATTCAATCCTCATGCATCTAATTAGAAAATTTAGAAAAGAAAATTTTTGCTCCACTTACAGAGCCCAATCAACTGCAATTATTAGAGTGATGTCATCTGTAGGCAGCCCCACTGATGTCAAAACGATGACCATGGTCACAAGGCCAGCCTGTGGGATTCCAGCAGCTCCTATGCTGGCAGCTGTTGCCGTAATGCTTTTACAAACAAGCAGAAAGGTCATAATGATGTTACACAGAAGAGCATCCAAAACTGGATAACTTGATCATTAATACGAACTAATGTACTTGGCATAAGAATCAAATACATTTTACCCTGCATTCAGTTGCATAGAATATCCCTGAACAAGGTAAATAAAACACAGGACTGCCCAATATAAGTAAGATCAACTTTGCATCAAGCCAGAGTTTCACTAGTAGAGTTGGGCCCAGGTTATTAGTTCATTGTTTTGAATCATGGGAAATAAAATCAAGGAAAAGCAGCGATTGACATTTCACAGGCCGAAATTTAAAGGGTCTGCCACCAGCTGTGAAGTTAGGTTAAAATAAATTGGCCTTAATTTTATCACAGTAGTTTACATACATTTTTTTGTAGAACAGCCTGAGGGATCATGAAGCTGAAGAGAAGTTTTCTCTTTCTATTCTGCCACCAACTCTCTTTCTCAGACTATTAACTTGTCTTTTGAGAGAATTTTTCTCTGACATCAGCAGGAATGTTTCCCAAATGCAGCATCACAGAGGAAAACCACCCCAAATAGAATCAATGGACTACCATTTTATACTAATCATAATTTTATCTCTTCCTCTTCAAATGCAGATCATTATAAGAAGGGAGTGGTACATTCACATATATTTCCTGTCCCAAGATTCTCCACACTGGCTGTTATTTTTTCCGTTTTAAGTGAACCTAAACAATACTTTTGACTGCCTAAATCCAACTTTTTGTCAGTTTGCTGAAAATTTATTGAAATGGTAAAATCATCAGGTTGAAATTGCCCCAGAGTGGTACTTGTCTTCTAGAGGTGGCAATTAATTAAAAAAAAAATGGGTCTCTGCAGATGGCAGGAGAAACAACCATATTCATGAGCAATAAATTAATCCAGCGGAATTAAGCACTCCTAAATCCACTAAAATAAATGGGCTTTACTTACTTAACGTTGGATTGGATTGCAGGCTTCGGTATGATTACAATTCTCTTAAATCTTTGAGATCCAACAGGCTTTAAAGATATTGTATATGAAATAATTCAGTTATTGGAATGAATGAAATTATTGTTTTGAAGGCTGTTGCAGAGATGGAATTGAGTCTTGATCTTTCCCTAAATTCTTGTCAACTTCTGTGTGATCAAGGTGATATAGCCACCAGCTACAATATATATTGTGACTTACCAAAGCTGCTAGATTGTACAGTAGTCAGCTATTTGATCTGTGATTCAAGTAATTCAAGTCTTCTTTAATATGCTGTTTAGTAAAGAACAAGGCAATCATCTTGATCTAATAGCAGGAATTTCCCTGTTCTTAGCAATAAATCCCAGCATGGGGCAGAATTGAAATCAGAGCTACAAAAGCATGGATCAATATAGAGCTGAATAGGCTGAACTGGGATAAAGTAACAATATGTCTGATCCAGCAGCACTGCAGTCACATACTTAGACATTTTGCGAGAAAGAGTTTGGTTTCGATCTGATAAATTGGAAACCTGTCAAGTTTGCACAGATCGCAACTTCTTCATGTTTTATGCTAAGCAGTAGAGTATTACTAGTAAATATTCTCCAGATGGATCTGCTCTTCCCCCTCATTTTTTTTGTATTTACAAATACAAAGAAAGCTAAAACAGTATTTACAAAAGAAAAAGGATTGTTTAAGTTATACATTCCTTAGCTGTTCATTTCAATCTCTGAAGCTTCTGAAATGTACAGAGCCTAATACAAAAATTTCAAAAATGGCTCAAAAAGTTGGTCATGATATCAGGACTCAATGCTGGTAAATGCTAAGTAATAAGAAAAGGAAGACTATCTTGTGTAACATGTACAGAGTTTCCTTCTTTAATTCCTCTGGCACCTCTTAAATCGTATAATAAAAACTCAGGGAGAAATTTGATTTGTAAAGTTCATGTCCTCCCTTGTTTATATATTAATACTCAGAGAATGGAAAATAAACCAGATGAGTTTGAGGTCCCAATATAGGAAAACAAATATGATTCAGTATTTGAACTGAGATTTGGTGGGATGGTTTTCAGAACAGGACTACAATAATTGAAAAAGAAAAGTTATTCAGAAGGAACAGATGCAGCACAAAAAGGAATTGAATTATATGCTACAATATCCTCATCTGTATAGAAATCCAAAGGGAAGGGTAAGATGAATCCAAGGGTAGGATAAGTAAGGTGGCTTTCCTAAAATCCTTTGGTAAAATAAGTTTATTATTTTAAAACTTATTTTAAAACACTAAACTTATTTATTATTTTAGCTCAATAAACTAGTACCATATTTGGATACTAATCCACTAACATTTAAACAATGAAAGATAAGCTGTGGATATGTTTTCCACAAGAAAACTGCATATCTTTAAAAAGCAGGACTGGGTGGTTTCAATTTCTCTGATATCTGTTGAGAGAACAACTCTTCCAAAAATGTCTTTCCAGGAAATTCCTTATCAGTCTTGCTGACAACTTTTCCTTCAGCTGGAGAAGCATGCTTTATTTAGACAAAGGACTGTCAGTTAAAAGCAAAAAATCATTTATATGCATATCTTGTAAAGCTCCAGAGTCAGTTTTGGAGTATTGGGTTCTGACACTTTTGTATGCAAATGATCAATAAAAGCAGCCTTCCCATTTGTGATGGGGAAATGCAGCAAATATTCAGGACAAAATGTTTTTGATTGGGAGGAACTCTTGCTTGAAGTAATATTCAACTGTTGTAGCTTTTTGTTTACAGGCTAAGGAAAGGGGGATTCAAAGATCATCTCCCCTAGCAACCAACCACATTCGTTTTACCCACAACCAGACAAAAGTGCACCATTCTTCTGATTCCACTTTCAAATGCAACCAGAGAGCTCTGTTTAGCTTCCCAGAGTGCAGACAACTCATTGAATAGGTATTTCAGATTGTGAATGGATGAGTGTTAGAGATTTTCTTTATTTCTTTTTTTGTGTGAAGTTAGGGAAGGGATTTATTTTCTTCAGGAATTGCACATCATCATCATCATTGTAGCATTTTTCCCGCAGGTGCAGAATCTGCTTTTCAGGTCATGATTTTGCATGATCAAACACAGCATCAGTGTCCAACAGGGCATTTTTCATGCCTGCATTTATTGTCTAGCCATCTTTCTTTCAGCCTTCCACACGGGCGCTTGCCATCTACATTAAAATGGAAGGGGTGTAGGCAACAATATGGGGAGCTGCTTGTAGAACATGGCCGTATTACTGTAAGCATTTCTCCTGCGTTTTCTCTGATGTTGGCATGGTGCCCATTTGCTTCCGAACAGTATCACTGCTGACATAGTCAGGGAGAGAAATGCCTAACAACCAACAAAGCACGCAATCTTCATGGAGTGTACAAGTACTCAATGCATTTGGTCACTGGCCATTTCCTTTCTTCAGGAACTGCTGACATTTTTAACCAGCAGTTAATCAGATGCTTAAGATTTTCCATCTGCACTGTTAATATGTATGATACATTTTATTAGTTCTGAAAATCATTTCATACAATTTTAGATTATTATCTGCTATGCTGGACATTGAAGACCAGAACATTGTTTTTTTCTGCAGAAGCCTATGAATCAGAGATTCTGCCCCCTCCCATTTTACCTTATGGTAATGATTTGTCCAAAATCAAGTTCATAGTTGTTTACTTGGGCGATGAAAATAGCTGCTACTGCTTCATAAAGGGCTGTTCCGTCCATGTTGATTGTAGCCCCTACTGGGAGCACAAACCTAGCAACCCTCCGGTCCACATGATTATTCTCTAATAAGCACTTAAAAGTTATAGGCAAAGTGGCAGAACTGCAAAACAACAAAACAAAAAACAAAAAAGGGGTAGTTTAGACTGAAGTTAGCAGAATAATGTAGTTTAGAAATTTGCTTACATAAGCAAATTTAAAGCAAAGTTATTTGCACCTATGCATTATTGGGTAAAAACTATTACATAAATGGCCTGATTCATTCAATATCTTAGCTGATAATAACAAAGCTATAAAAATGAATTATATTATTTAAAGAAAAAAGTGCAAAAGCTATGACCCATCATAATATTGGAAATGTCTCATTATCATTTTCCAGAGTTTTTTTTTTTTTGTTACTAACGAATTATCCTCCCGAATTTGATTCTATCTCTTTGTTTTTTCTATTGCTTTGTCCCAATACCTGAAAATTGTATTTGTATTAGCATATAACATAACATAACATATTTTGGATCTTTTGCTTTTCCCCCATGCTTTTTATTTATTTTTAAATCTGAGAATGAAATAAATACAAGGGAATGGGAATAATTATAAATGTGCCTGTAAGAAAATATTTCATTTCCCGTTTGGAACCAGGGTGAGTGCATGCGCAGCTCCACTTGCATGAGAAGCTCATGCTCACAGAGGTCCATATGCACCTCCCCTTTACTACCGCTCTGCCAAGCTGGAAAGGTTGGGGACCGCTGATCTAAGGACAGAAATTGGAAGGATTAAATCCAGAAAAATAACAGTATTCCAAGTTTACTGTGATAATGGATTTTTTAATTTTTTTCTTCAGCAACTTGCAGCACCTAACTGATCTTTGCTAGTCATGTAGTGTTGGGCCAAGATAACAGGCAGAGTCAATAACCACCATCAAATTGTAGGACTATTGACTAGACCAGGAATTGTAACAATACAGTGGCAAATTACTGCCATATTAGTGCTAAGAAAATTGCATGAGTGTGACGCTAATATCGTCGGAATTGAAACATGACTTGAGAAAAACATCTTTTTTTTCTTAAAAATTAAGAAAGCATTGCTCCACAACTTTAATAATTGCAGCATGTACCTGGATGATGTGGCCAGAGCAATAAGCAGTGCTTGAAGAATGCCTCTGATAAAGACAACAGGGTTCTTCTTGGTGATGAAGAAATACATCATTGGCAAAATAACGAGTCCGTGAACGAATAATCCACAAAGTACTGTACCAGCATAAAATCCTAGTTTCTTCCCAATGGCTGTGGGATCATCCATTTCCAAAATCTTACCAGCAATAAGAAACACTATTCCAAATGGAAAATACCTAAGAAGGAATAAAGAGATATTCTATGCAAAGAATACATCCATATAAAAATAGGGGAAAAAACCAAATGAATGGAAAGTGCAATATTTTGGTGAAAGTATTGCAGCTGGATTACAGAGACCTAGGCTTCAAGTCCCATCTGACCAAAGTGCTTGCTTGAAGACTTTATCCAGCTCTATTCTCTCAATCCAATCTTCCCTATAGAGTTGTTATTATGGGGATAAAATATAAAGAAATCTCTATATATTACCTTGGCTCTCCAATGGAACAATAAATAGAAATGCAGCAAATAAATGCAGCAAATAAATGCATCCTTGAAGTACCACAGATATTATTGTAAGACAAAATGGGTCTTATTCTGCAAGATATTTTTGCAACACAATTTGGCCTCTACAAGTGTACAGGTGAATCTCCCTTTTGACAGAAGTGCTAAAGGTGTATGTCCTTATGGTAGGAACTCATCTCGTTAGATAGGTTAGGAAGAACTAGTTTTGAAACACTATGCTAAGGAACTCTAATTATTATTTCTTTCTTGGATAGTTTTCCTCTTAGTATAAGCAGAAGCCCAGCCCATTGCAATCTCATATAGTGAGGTACAAGAAATATCAAGACAATATTCATGTGGAATTTGATTTCTGCCTGAAAACTTCCTACAAGCCAATGTTTACAAATATCCTTTTAAAAGGAGAATGCACGCAACCCTGTACATGTTATTTAGATCACTCAGCAACCCACACAGTTTATGTAAGCTGATTTTATTGCTGATTACATACTTTTATTTGTTAATATTTATTTCTCCTGACATTTACTTACCATACAGTCACAGCCACTATCTTCATGACCGATTCGTTTAAACACTGGCAAAAACTCACCAAGGGAACTCCACTGGTGCCCATTCTGCCCAGCATTATACCTACAAATATATAAATGTCTTAGTTGCTTCTTATTTATATTCATTTAAACTTATATAATATACTTTGAGCCTTTCCTCACTTGCCCCTAACCATGATAAAAACATGTCCTAGCAAGTTTTTTTCCTGCTCTATTCCTATAACGTTCTTTTTATCTTAATCCCTGTGCATGAATGAGACAAGTTTAAAGTCAATCTTGGCTATATTTGTGTTGAAGTAGCATTACCCCTATTCTTCTTTAAGAGCAGCCTTGAGTATAAAATCAATGAAGATTTGTTATTAGGGAGAGAAATTAGGTGAGCAATTGTGACTGAGAACAGAGACATGGGATAAACAAGGATGTTCTTCAATGGGAACATTAAATTCCATGCTAGTTTATTTACTACTTTCTCAAGGGTGAAAGGAGAGCAAATTCAGCTTAGCCTTGATCGCCTTCACTACGATCTGGAAATATATCTGAAATTTGAATTACCAGATAATTGTATGGCTGATAATGAGTCACATTTTTGAGTAATGTATGCTAAGAATTACATATTTTGAACAACACAAGCTCCATCATTATGTGTCATAACTGTGAGCATAAGGACATAACTGATCTCTGCTAGATCTGGTCCATCTAATCCAGCAGCTTGTTCTCCCACTGATCAACCCCTTCACAAGGAAGCTCCATAGACCCCTCATCAGAGGGAGTTGCTGCATCACTCTAATTCATGGGTATTTGAGACAAATTTGGCAAAATATATGTTAGGACAAGTGGATCCTAGCAAAGAAAACTAATCTCATGCAGAACCATCAAAGTTATTGACCTAGAAAAGCCGTAGTTATCTCTGGACTGAGGACAGTTTTCTTCCAAGTACCAGTTCAGGGAAACAAGATGGAAAAAGGCTATGACTTGCCAGAACTCCAGAGTAATCTTGTTGGCCGCTATATACTTCAATATATACTCGTTGGCGCAGTGGTTAGAGTGTAGTACTGCAAGCTACTCCTACTGCAATTTGGCAGATTGAATCCCACCAGGCTCAAGGTTGACTCAGTGTTCCATCCTTCCGAGGTGGGTAAAATGAGGACCCAAATTGTTGGGGGGCAATAGGCTGACTCTGTAAAGCGCTTTGAGAGGGCTGTAAAGCACTATAAAGCAGTATATAAGTCTAAGTGCTATTGCTATATAAAAGGAAGACAGATTCTTCCAACATTGTGGAGTGGTACTAGAACGATAGGCTTCTTAAAAATTATAGATGTAAAAGAACCCTGAATCACTTTGCTCATTAGATACAGGCAGTTGTCATTTAGTGGCTGCCTCACTTGGCAACCGTTACAACAGTGGCAAAAAAGTAAGTTTACGAACAATCCTTGCATTTACAACCTTTAAGGGTCTTAAAAACAAAAGAAATTGAACTAAAATCATAAGCACACTTATGTGTTTCACTTAACAACTTTACTTAATAACTGAGTCACTGGTCCCAATTGTGATTGCTAAATGAGGACAACCTTTAAAAAAGCTCTGTTAAGCCTATTTCTTCACTTTAAAAAGGAATTGAAAATCTTTGTCCAGTCTTCAAACTAGAAACAAACCAAACTGGTTATAAGTTGTGCTAAGCTAGTCAAACATTCCAGACTGCTCTCTAGAGGACATTTTAAAAATTGCTGGACTGATTCTCCCAGAGTCATTCATTACCATTCTGTTTAAAACAGACTGGAAAAGTTGTTTCAGAGTTTCATGTCAATATTCAAAAACTGGCAATACAGAAAAAGTTAGACTCACTGTGGTTAAATTATAGAAGTGCCTAATAAAAGTCCACAGCTGTTCCTTTTGCCTCCAATCCTGTCATACAAGGAGATCTATCCTCTCCTTTAATGTGAACTCTAATATTTTAAAAAATCTCTAAAATTTAGAATTAGTGGAGTGGGATTAAATCAGGGGTGGGATTCTACCAGTTTGCACCTATTTGCTAGAACCAGTTGTTAACATTCTAAGCAGTTCAGAGAACTGGTTGTTAGAAGAAATTACTGGCCTAATCCTGTAAGGAAGGCAGGAAGGAAACTTTCTGATATTGCTTACAGAAACTGCCTCTCCGTTAACCCTTATTACATCCTTGGCAGGACTAGACTTCCTGTCTTAGGAACGTCTCTGGAGTTTTTTCCCCCTCCTTTGCTGGTACTTTGGTTGTGTAGAGTGACCATTCAAAGTTACAATGGCACTGAAAAAAGTGACTTATGACCGTTTTTCACGCTTACGACTGTTGCAACATCCCCACAGTCACGAGAGGCCAGGCGAGGAGATGCGTGCCTCAATGTGAGTGATGTTGAGTAGGCCACGCCCAGCCAGTAACATGACCACCAAGCCATGTCCACCCAGTCACATACCCACCAAGCCATGCCCACCAACTAAGCCACGCCCACAGAACCGGTTGTTTAAAAATGTGAATCCCACCCCTGGATTAGATGGAAGTACTCCCTGACAAAGAAGTTCTAGAGAAATAAAGTCATGATTAATTTACTGACTACATGCTATCTTTCTTTTAATGTGCATGTCTCCAAAGTCCTTAAATTATATATTCAGAATTGTGAAACATATTTTCCAAGCTAAAATGTTAGGGATTCTAGAAAAAGCAATTAATTGGGGCACCTTCTAAATATCCTAGACTTCAATTCATGAAACCCAATTAGCATAAATAACTGAAATAGGTTGCTCAACTTGTCTGAAAAGCATTAGATAGCACATGACTAGTCTATTTCATGCAACAACTTCATTTGACATGCTATTTAAAAACAACAACTTACTTACCCATGGTAGCAGAGAATATTACAATTCCCAACACATTCATGCCTTCACTAGTTCCTGGCTCTGATTTATAAATCACTTCTGGTGGTGGTGTAATATCCAAAGCAAAATTCTGGATGTTGGATCCATTTTCATCTTGCACACCATAGATTATAATTCGACTAATACTTTCAGATGATGTTTTGCTCACTTTGACAATTGGAATGGTTTTGGTTTGATACTGAAAGAACATAGGTCATCTGGGTTATGTGCAGAAGGATACTCTATTGCTGTGTTTCTCATTCTTGGCAACTTTAAAACATGTGGACTTTAACTCCCAGAATTCTCCAGACAGCAGGGGAATTCTGGGATTTAAGTCCACACATCTTAAAGTTCCTGAGGCTGTGAAACACTACTCTTATCACTTTAAATTTAAAATTATTTTCAAATTTTCAAATCTCAAATGAAGAAAACAATACAATTGAAAAACAACATTTATTTTATTTATTTTTATTTGTCAATTGCTTACAAGATAATAGGTATAAGTAAAAATGTAGTTATGAATACATGGATACATATAAGAAAAATAAAAATATATATAAAAGAAACAATAGGACAGGGACCGTAGGCACGTTGGTGCGCTTATGCACGCCCCCTACAGACCTCTTAGGAAAGGGGTGAGGTCAATAGTAGACAGTCTAAGGTTAAAGTTTTTGGGGTTTGGGGAAAAAACCACAGAGTCAGGTAGAGTATTCCAGACATTGACCACTCTGTTGCTGAAGTCGTATTTCCTGCAATCAAGTTTGGTACAATTAACCTTGTTTACTCTTGTGTTGTTATGGTTGAAGCTGAAGTATTCATTGACAGGTAGGACATTGCAATGTATGATTTTATATACTATACTTAGATTGGACCGAAGGTGCCGTAGTTCTAGGTTTTCTAGGTCTAGAATTTCGAGTCTGGTGGCATAAGGTATTCTGCAACGAGTAGAGGAGTGGAGAACTCTTCTTGTGAAATATTTCTGGACTTTCTCAACTGTGTTAATATCAGATACGTAATGTGGGTTCCAGACTGATGACCTGTATTCGAGTATTGGTCTAGCAAATGTTTTGTATGCTCTAGTTATTAGTGTAATATTACCAGAGAAAAAGCTACGTAAGATTAGGTTAACAACTCTTAACACCTTTTTGGCTATGTAGTTACAGTGGGCTCTAGCACTTAGATCATTAGAGATGAGTACTCCAAGATCCTTGACAGAGTTTGGATCATCAACAAGGTCTTGACTATTCAGCCTGTATTTTATTTTCTGATATTTTTTTTGCCAATATATAGATCAGAGCATTTATTTGTTGAGATTTGAAGTTGCCATTTGTTTGACCATTCTGATACATAGTCAAGGTCTTTTTGAAGGGTAGCAGTATTGTCTGTGGTGTTGAATAGCTTTACATCATCAGCGAAGAGAACACAGTTGCTCTTGATGTGATCACAGAGGTCATTTATGTAGAGTATGAAAAGAGTTGATCCTAGAACACTGCCTTGGGGGACACCACTGTTGACAGGTACAGAATTTGATAGGACGCTCCCAATTTTGACCATTTGTTGTCTGTTTGAGAGGAATGCTTCTGTCTAGTTATGCAGGTGTCCAACTGATGCAATTATAGAAAAAGCATTTATATCCCCAAAAATTCAAAACTTTTCTATTAAGTTAGCATATTAAATATATATTTTAAATACGCAAATTTCAAATAAATGCAAAACAGTAATATTGCAGCTCCTCACATCTTATCCAATAACATTTCCTGGGTCTCCAACTCAAAAACAGATTTTTGTGGGAGAATGAGATCTAAAGAGGGACAGAACAGGCAGAAAACTTCATTGTGCTATGTTTATGGGAACAAAGTTAGGATCCCATCTCCAATTTGTCCTTCTGGATAAACCATATCACCCAACAGGGAAATATTTTATGTAGAAAACTGATGCCATTCTCCTCCATTAGTATCACCTCTCTCTTTTCCTATCACTTTTCTGTCATGTCTTTTTTCACAGAAGCTGGAGGAAATGGAATTTATGTATTAATGGCTTTAGCAGTTATTACAAGCTCTCCATCTGGAAGCATACATATATTTTGGCCTGGAATTCATTGCCATTTATTATTGCAAAGATTAAGAAAATACTGGTTTTTCCAAGGGGGGATTTGAGAGCTGTGGCTATCAATTTGCTCTCTACACCAGAACAAACAATTCAGAGAGTACTTTTATATGGGATGGAAGAATAGATAGATGATTCATTGTTCGGTTAATCAATTGATTAATAGATACGGTGTTTTTATGAAGTCTAATAGGCTGCCATGTATGGCTTCGAACTACATTTAAAAATTACACAAAACTATTTGCTACCAGATATTAGACCCACATAATGGTAATAATAGTGACAGGAACATATTCCTATCATAACAAATCTATTTCAATATTATCTACAGAAACCTTCTTCAAGAGTTACCTTCCAGATGCCTTGGGGTTTGCATTGATAATATATCTAGACTCCTATAGGAGAGAAAGCTGGAGCAGCAATAATTACCACCACTTTTCTCCAAATATATTCCTCCAAATACCTTAAATTGCATTCTGTCTTTGAGGAACACCAGGTTGGAGAAACTGTTTTATACACTACCAAGGAACAGCTGTTAAGGATTGTAGATGAGATCAGCCTGACAGCAACTGGATATACAACTGATATACTATATATTTTGCATGCAATGCCTAATACATAAGCAACTTGGCATTCCCCACATTTTTACATTCCGTTGTCATCATGAGAAGCAACTGTGAAAGTTATTGTCCATAATATTTGGAAAGCTTCAAGCTACCTAACCTGCATTTAAAAAAAAAATCAAGACAATATTTCACTTATGGGACTTTGAATAGTTTAGAAGTCTACTGTAGGTATTTCTGCCTTCTGCTAATTTTCATATTACTTAACATTTGCTATTAGGGGTAATCATGAATTGATGATGCTGATGGGTGATGCTGATGTTATCCATTCAATCATGTCTGACTCTTAGCAATTCTATGGACCAGAATCTCTCCACTACCTCTTTGAGATTTTCTATACTGTGGCTGGTGTCTGCTTTGATGGAGTCCAGTCACTGTGTTCTTTGGTGGCCTGGTTTCCTTTTACCATTTGCTCTTCCCAACATAATCAATAGAATAACAGAATTGGAAGAGACCTTGGAGGTCTTCTAGTCCAACCCTCTGCTCAATCAGGAAACCTTACACCATTTCAGACAAATGGTTGTCCAATCTCATCTTTAAAATCTCCAGTGTTGAAGCAGCCACAGCTTCTGGAGGCAAGTCATTCCACTGATTACTTGTTCTAACTGTCAGGAAATTTCTGCTTAGTTCTAGGTTGGTTGTCTCATTGACTAGTTTCCCCTTGAATAATTGCTTTCTCCAGTGAGAATTTTTAATTTTTGTGACTATTAGGAAGAGTTCCTCACCAAAACTTAGTCAACATCTTTATTAAACTAAATAATGCAAGTGCTGGTGATTTTAGAGGTTCTCATGGGTTATTTGATGAACTGTATATGGCTCATCTAGTTTTTTCTTATGAATTGCAAAGAAATATTTTAGCATTCAAAGAGCCAGATTCCCACCTGTTTAAAAGTGGCTTCCACAAGGTTGGCAGGAAACATGTTCCTGAAAAAAACAAAACAAATAAAACTAGTCAAGGAAATAAATAGAATTTTAAACACAAAGCTTTGCAAGCTATAAATAAGCTGTCATTTACAATATAAAACATATTATGTGGCTAAAAAAATAACTTCAGATTCTTCATGGTAAGTGATTTTCCTATTTTTCCTCTTTTAAAACTTGGGGGAAAATTGGAACAACGTAATTGTTCTATATTAACATTCTCCAAATCCCGAGTTCTGATTGGTCCACACGGACCGCAACCCAATTGGTCAACTAAACAACTGTGATTGGCGTGCTAAGAATCTACCGTGATTGGCTGAGCCGATCGCGGGAAATTCAAAGCGCTGCCATTGGCCGCCAAGCCGCCGGCCGGCTGAATAAAGCCAAGTGGCTTGCAGGTCCTGGACCCAACTGTATATTCAATAAAGAGCTGAATGTGCACTTTGAGTCTCACGTCTCCATGCAACCTGATCTACCTGGGACCGATCTACCCGGGACCGATCTCCCAGACTTAACAGTGATATTCTGTTAATTTAAGGTTTTTTAAATTAATATTTCTAAACATTTATAGTAAACACCAGGCAACATCCTGACATTAAAAGTTGGGAGCTTGAAAACCATGAGATACAATACTTCTATGCCACCACAGTAATTTCTAAGTTTATCTCGCAACAATGCACCTGTAACTATTTGGAAATTCACCCAAGGCTTGTCATTACAAGGCTAGTACTATATGTGCAAGTAGATTAGTTTGGTTCAATCAAGCATGATCTGTACAGATTCATTGTTGGGTAAGGAGACAGATTGCACCTAACATCAAATAAATCCAAACAATTCACATCACGCATGAATCTGGCAATGCATTTTTCTCACACTTTCAATTAAAAAATAAATTCTGAATCAGCATGTAATGAGAAAGACATTTTACCAGAAAAAAAGTTGTAATTTGAGTGATGGAAACATGATTATATCTCAGTAAATGTTTCATTTTTATGAAAAGCTTTTAGTTTTCCCCATGTTATTGGACACATATCTTCAAGTTATCCAAGAGATCTAAAATTATTCCCTTTCAATTACCTTTTAAAGTTCCAAGGGATCCTGATTCTTCCATACAGTCAAATCATCTGGGGTCATAGGTTGTATCCATGTACATTAGGAATTTGATTAATTCTGTTTGTGATGTGATTTGGATGAAAGGTGCTACAGACATGCAAAGGATTACTTTGCTGATTAAATGATAGACTAGCAGTTTATGATGGATAATTAATCTGGAGCAACTGTTTGGGGGGATGTTACATTCAGATTGAAGAGGAACAATGAGGTATGTGTGTCTTAGCAACCTTTGAACTTGTGCCTCACTTCTAGCTGCACTGACATGCAATTAGGATTATATGGAAGAAGAAACATCTGTCAGATGGTCATTAGTGATCTAATGTCAAAAAAAGTGTTAATGATTTTAGCTGTTGCTGTTTTCATTATTCTTTCTCTTGCAGGAATTAGGACTGTTCCTTTTAATAGATACTAAAGGACACCAACCCTGACTGTTCTTTGGAAGGACAGATACTGAAGCTGAAGCTCAAATACTTTGGTCGCCAAATGAGAAGAGAAGACCCATTGGAAAAGACCCTGGTGTTGGGAAAGATTGAAGGCTAAAGGAGAAGGGGATAGCAGAAGATGGGATGGTTAGATAGTGTCATCAACATAATGAACATGAATTTTGGCAAAATCTAGGAAACAGTAGATGACAGGGGAGCCTGCGTGCTGTGATCCATGGGATCACAAAGAGTCGGACACAATTTAGCGACTGAACAACAACATTTTAATAGAAGTGACTGGAACTCTTCCAATATATTTTAAATGGACTGTGGTTTTCCATGGTAAATCATTCTTCAAAATTAACTTTGTTCAAATGGCCAGAAGGTAAGTGAACAGGAGTTTAGGGTCACATCAGTTCTAGTAGAGTACAGGCCATGACAGACAATCTTGATATGCCACTGAAAAAAATGAGTCTGTGCATGGTGGCAAGAGTTGTGTTGTGGAGGAGATGCAATTGGTCTGGAGCCTTTCTCCACTTTATAGAAACACAACTGTGAGAAAAAAAAAATGCAGCTGCCATATAAAATTGAGCAAGTATTTTTATTAGCTCCATCATGTTCTTGGAAAAACTTCAAACTACTGATTTTGAAATACCAGATTTCAAAAAACAATTTCTGCTCCTTTTGAAGTTACGCTATTGAATATGAGATTTGTGCTTCTGAAGTTCTCATTAGTCTTGTTGTTGTACAATACTTCGATTGCTTTATTGGAGATGGGACCTTGGTACTGAAGACTTTCAAACTCTCTCAGCAGTTTTTAGATTTATAGTTATATTTATTTATATTTATAATTATTTTCAAATGGACACATTGATCTCAAAGATTACAGTGATGGTACTTTTTTTTTAACAGGACTATTTGAGCAGCACAGAGATCCTTGCCTGTATATTCGGATTCTTCTGGAAGATATGCTGCTCTTAAATATTCCTCTCATACTGATGCTCTTATACTTCTTCATCTCTTTCATATTCTCTCTTCATCAAATGGAACAAATAAGCTGCTAAGACAATATCACTATTTAATTCTGTAAAGCTATTAACTGAATACTGCTGATCTTAGTTCTGCTTGTCTATAGCAGCTGGAAAGAATATTTTATTGCCAGCAAAGTTGTTACGAACTAAGCAAATGCATTGGTTTTGAATCCTAATAGTTTTACTTCCACAGCAGGCTCGTAATCCTGCACTTCTGATTGGCCCACAGTTAGCAGATCGTGATTGGTCGCCTCTGGCTAATCTGATTGGCTGACAGCGGGTCGCCGCTGATTGGACGCTCCCAGCGCGGCAAACTTAAATCATTGGACATTGTGACAGCAGCCAGCTCTATAAAAGGAGCTGCTGCTGCCCAAGCCCCCCGTTCCTTTTCTGAAGTCACTAATAAAGAGTTGAGTCACTATTCGATGCCTCGTCTCCGTTACTTGCGCCCACTCCTCCAGATCTAACACTGGCGACGAGGATGGGATGCGGAGATGATAGAGCTGACTGAGCACTCGCTGAGCACCAAACAGAGCACGTGGCTAAGAGCGCACCAACTAGCGACAGAATGACCAGCAGCGCCATACCACCCGCTCCATTTGACCCGGCTAACGAAGACTGGGACTCGTATATGGACAGGTTCCAGATGTTCCTGGAGACCAACAATCTAAAAGATGCTAAGCCTGGCAAGATACGAGCCGTATTCCTGACCCATTGCGGGCCCGCCGTTTTTAAAATGGCAAAAGCACTTGCGAAACCGGCTGAAGTCAAGACAATGGATTGGGACAACCTTGCGCCGATCCTCCGGGCCCATTATGCACCAGCGGTGCCAACACTCATCAGAAGACACGAGTTTTACCAGAGGGACCAACAGAAAGGTGAGAGTGTTGGAGACTTCATCGCTGATCTCAGGAACCTGGGAGGACTTTGTGGCTTCGCAAACCTCGAGGAAGCCATGAGAGACCGAATTGTTCTGGGCCTAGAAGACTCTACGACTCAGAGCAAGATTATGGCGAAGGGGGACATCGGCCTCGCAGATGTCATCGCCGATGCTACTGCAGCAGAAGCAACCAGGAAATCAGCCGCTCGAATGCGCCGAGCGAACGCACCGCACCGCCAACTCGCCAGTGACACTACGTCTTTCTCCAAGAAGCACACAATGACCACCCACCATGAAGACCTCGAATCCTCATCCGAAAGCGAGGAAGAGGAGGTCAACCGCCTCAGGTCAGAACGCGACCAGCGAGACCAGTGGAACCCTAAAACTTTGCGGCAATGCGCGGGATGTGGGGGTAATCACCCGCGATCAGACTGTAAATTCCTAGACGCACTCTGCCGTTCCTGTGGAAAGAGAGGCCACATCGCAAAGGTCTGCAGAAGCAAGCGAGGATCCAGCCCAACCCGAAGAGAAAATAATTTCCGGCAGATAACAGGCACCCCACCAATAAATCGGGACTGCCTAAACAACCAATGGAGCCACTACTACAGAAATAGAGCAACCGCCAATTCAACTAGATGAGAAGAGACCCATCAAACCATCACCATCGGCCACGCTTCATCCCTGGATGCAGGGAAAATCCGAGTGAAGGTCATCATTGCGAATCAACCATGTGTTATGGAGGTCGACTCCGGGTCGTCCTTATCAATGGTCTCTTGGAAAACCCTCAAACAGCTGATCCCTGACATCCGTTGCCAGGACCTCAGCACTCAAAAAATCATATTAAAAGACTACCAAGGAAACAGAATCCCAGTTGCCGGTACCAGCCACGTCCAAGTATCTTTCAAAGACCACACTGCAACTCTACCTCTTACCATCGTCGATCGAGATCGGCCCAGCTTGCTAGGCTTGCAGTGGTTCGCGCCACTAGGAATTGAACTAGCAGGCATCCACCAGACCGGAAGCGATGACTGGGAAGCAGCCCTCGTCCAGGAATTCCAGGATGTTTTCACCGAGAAACTAGGCAAGTACAAAGGATCCCCCATATCGTTTAATCTCAGCCCCGATGTCGCGCCCATTCGCCTTAAGCCTCGTCGAGTGCCATTTGCACTCAAGCCAAAGATTGATGAACAATTGGACAAATTAATAGCCCAGGGCGTGTTGGAACCGATTGACCACGCCCGATGGGAGACCCCAATTGTAACCCCAATAAAACCTGATGGATCCTTGAGAATTTGTGGGGATTACCGGGCCACCCTAAATCACGTGCTTCAGCAGAGCGCTTACCCCGTACCTGTGGTCCAACACCTTCTTCATTCCTTGGGAGGTGGAAAAATATTTGCAAAATTGGAGCTAGCCCAGGTGTACCAGCAGCTGCCCGTAGATGCACAGACTGCAGAAGCCCAGACTATAGTCACACACAGGGGTGCATTCAAGTGTAATAGACTCCAATTTGGAGTGAGTGTAGCACCGGGCATTTTCCAAAGTCTGATGGAGAGA